TATTTAATCTGTAATTTAAATTTTCACAATTTCTAAAAAAATGATTTTGAATATTCAAATGCTATTTTCCATTTCATTTCAGTTCACTCAGTCAACAAGTAAAACACTCAATTATTTTGTGTTCTTCTGCAGAACAAATTCAATATTTATATATATTTATGTATGTCTTCCTTCATGTATGTATGTATGTACGATGCATCTATAAAATGAGTGTGTTCAATTATATGTATGTATATAACTTAAGTATGGCTTGTAAAATGAATTGGCAATTGATTGGGCTGGCGCATTCGAGTCAATGGGCAGATTCCTTGACGGCTCGTGCTCGTGCTCGTGCTCGTGATATTGGTATGTAGTCGAAGTTATGATCGCTTGGATAAAATGTGATTTAAGCACATTTTAGTATTTGTATTGGGCCGTGGGTCCCGACACGGACACATAGTTGCCCTCGGAGGGCTCGGCCGACTTCAGTATGGCCTTGGGAGCATAGTGAACGAGGGGAGTGAGTGGTGTCAGGAGCTTGGCGGCAATCAGTTTCTTGGGCTCCGGCGAGGGCTGGGGTATCTTGATGTCAGTTGGCTCGCGGCGCACGAGAGCATTGAAGCCGCTGTGATCGTCCGCTGTGTAGTCGACGGTGCGCAAGTAGCCATCGGAGTCGATGAGCGTGTATTGGCCCACGACCTTGTCGTCCTTGCGCGTCTCCTTCTGGCTCTTGATGTCGCCCGTGTGCGGATCATTGACCAGCCAGTGGAACTCGTATGCCACCGGGCCAGAGTCCAGGTCTGGCCGCAGCTCAATGGCCCAGACGGCGACGCTGCTCAGCGTCAGGCAAATGCAGAACAGATAGCTGAGCTAAAGGATAGCGAATTAGGACTTGGGCTTCATATTCCACGACTACTCCAACTTACTTTTCCCATCATTTGCAACGTGAATGAATTTATTTGGCTTCAGCTGGAGAACTGTGTACGCACACGACGCTGATCGAGATCGTTGTAATTAAACTGTGAAGTCCTCAGCGTTTTTATACTGCACACGCATGACAGCCGCAACGTCTCAATCTCGCACTCCAGCTCCAACTCTGTCCCCGTCTTCGTCTCCGTCTCACTGGGTGTGAGGCAATCTGTGCTCGAATCTTTCAAATGGCTCCCAAAATCAAGCAGCGCGCTCATTAGCTGAGCCATGCAAAAAAAGAAATACAAATTATAAAACACGAAATACGCAAAGTGCTCACTCGACTAACACAACCACACGCATTGCCTCCAATTGGAGAAGAAAATGAGAATAGGCAAGCGTAGGCAACACCCAATCAGACTTTGGCCAAAGAAGGTTAGTGCACCAAATATTATGAATTATATCAGTTTATAATTCTTATTATTTATTATATAAAGAAAAGCTAGATTTAAGGCTAATCGAAGAGTAAAAAACTACTTAAATAATTTTATGTGAAATGAGCTCAGATCTGAAAGTCTCTTAGGGATTACTTCAATGTGTACTTCTGTTGGAGCTAAGAAAAATTAAATTAGTTTTTCTTCTTGCTAGGATTTTTAATGCAGTAAATAATAAATTTAATAAATTTATTATGCATTTCAAATAATCTTAATTATTTATCTATATATAGATTGTTAATTTAAGAAAAAATATATTTTAAAAAATAAAAGAAGATTTATCGAAAATAATTTGAATAGCATTTACAGTATTTTTTTTTTTTTTAATTCTTTTTTATAAATTTTAAGAGTAGATATTAATGTATATGTATGGCTCTGTACATATAAGCATTCAAGCAATAAAATATATGATGCTATACTACTTCAATTGCCCATATTCAAATCAAGATTAAATTTCATATATCTAGCACCATCTCCTACTGTGCTTCACCTCTTATATGCAATATGTATAACACTCTCAATAAGAGTATATATTCACAAATAATTAAGAAGTCGGCAAATTTGATCTAATGAATGTTTTTTTTTTCGCCTCAGCTTTATTTCGTCTCTTAAATCAAATGCTAATCTGAGCTGGCATAAAGTGTTCTGCTCAATTTATAACCATTAAAATTCCAATCAAGAAACCCAACCCAAGATATTGGAAAAAGAGCTAATTATTTTTTTCTATTTGAATAATTTACGTAATATGTGGAAACTGCATTTGCTCTAAATAAAAATAGTATAAATTGAATATATGATATTTGGCATGTGCCGTCGTCGCCTTTGGCTATTTAGTGTTCCCGGGAGATGGCTAATTAAGGTGGAAATAACTCGTTTGATGTCATTAACAAATATTTTAATTAATCGCCATAAGACGGCGGCATTTGCCTTATTTGATGCCTTAAAATTCAGGTTATCTTATTTTCAATACTCTCAATTTTTTTTTTTTATTACTTTGTATTAATTTTCCAGCTTGCGTTTGCAAATTGTGGCATGTGCACTCGTGCGCGTCAGGCGTTAGTTGTCCCAAACTGGGTTAAACATACCCAATATAAAAATAAGAAAAAAATAAATAAACTAAGTGCAAAAAAAGATCGCATTTTGCATACCCGCATTTTTGGCTAGCTGCACTTGTCGACTGGGGCCAAAGACTGGATTGCAATGTTATTGATTATGAAAGAGCTTTGATTAATGCTGAGGGTTCTCTTTCAAACTAGAGGTGAATCGAGAAGATTAATTAGACTTTTTACAGATTGGCATTAGTGTGGAGACAAATTTGTAAAGTACATCAAGTAATATTTTTTTATATGTTTCTTAAAAAATAAAAATTCGTTACATATAATTATTAAATAGAGTACAAAATATTAATTTATAATTAATTATTTATTATTTCTTCCGATTTATGGCATTTATAGCAGACAGCCTGTATCATCAGCGCATATCCAATTCTAATCAAATTCCAATTCAATTATTATTTACAGCATTTTCACTGTAGCATTCATCAATTCCAATTGGATAATCAGACTCTAATCTTCCTCCTCTTGCTCTTTTTCCAATTTGGTGCGTATTTTGTTCTGTAAGCGCGAGCGCAAAAGCTCACGTCGCAGGGAATTGCTTTCAGCTTCTACAGTCTCGACGAGCTGCAATGGGAATCGATTATCATTATCAAGCAATAATTGTTTGTTTGTTGGTTGTGACTTACGCTTTGTGTCATTGCAGCGCGTTCCAGTGATTCAGCATCGGCGTCGTCATTCTGCAAACAGCTGTCACAAATGGACGAGGCCACATGCTGACGATAATTGCGACACGCCTGTTCGGTGGGCTCGTATTTGGGCGGTGGGTCATCATCGTCTGCTGGAGCTGAAGCTGCTTGTGCTGCACGCTCGTTCAGTTGCGCCTTGAGCGCTGCCAACTCTTCGCGCAAACTTTTATTCTGCATCTCCAGCAAATCGACCTGTGTGTATGAAGGCTTATTAAAAGACGCAAAGTGGTTTACCAACTTGATTTTAATTACGCTTTCCAATTCAAAGTCCATTTCATCAATAATGTCATAGGACTCATCTAGCGCCGCTTGCATCTTTGCTAGCTTCGCTTGCAGCTGCTCTACTTCCGCTGAGCTGTTTTTGTTCTGCTGGGACTTACGCTTCTCAAGCATCATTTGTTGTTCTGTTCCGATTGGATTTGGTATTGAATATATGCACATAGACATCTACATATACATATGTATTTCTCATTCATTCTCACCTGATTCCCGCTGAGCCACTGCTGACTTCATTACCAGCCCCGTGAGTGTCTTTTGCCGTTTGAACATCTCCTCCAGCGCTTTGCAGCGTTTCACCTTCTCCAGGTATGCATCCTGCAGCTTATTGTATTTCTTCTTGTGCATCTGCAGAGTCTCCACTAAGCGATCGCGTTCCTCTTCCAATTGGAATGCCCTAATCTTAGCTTCCACATTCACTGTGGCATTCGTGTGCTGATCTGTGGAGACGCGGTTCAGTCTGTGGCGCAGCAGAATGTTCTCTTCCTCCAAGCGCGTATTCTGTGCTTTAACTGGAATTCAATTTAGCGCCAGTTCTGATTGGCATTACGTATACGCACCTGCATCCAGTTCTGCATAAATCATTTGCATTGCGGATGAGCCTGGTCGCTCCATGTTGCCAACAACTGAACTGTTTTCAACTGTTTTGATTAGTCAGAAGTTTCCCGAGTCTTATCAGTCAATTTGAAATAAGATAAGCTATCAACTTATTGCCATATACTGTTGCCATATCAGCAAAAAAAGGCAAATTTCTTGCAATGCAATCATAATCAAGTTTTAAACGAAATAAAAATAAAATGTAGAAAAGCACAAATACATTGTCTTCTAATATCTTTTCAAATCTATTTAAACTCCAATTGGACTGGACAGCACACGAGTTTAGCCACTTCAACAACCCCATTTAAAAGCTTGCTGAGCAAAAGCTCGTATTTGTTTGGGTTTTCGTATTAGCTGCATTAGGGTGAACCAAAATGTTGTTGTTTTAATTAAGGTTAAGGTTTAATTTTTATTAAAGTGTTAAAAGTTCTACATAAATGATTAGTAGGTTGAAAAATATGTGTAAGAGCGGTTTAATATAAAACTGTAAATGCTGAAGGATGGTCAGACGGGCAAGGCTAAATAGACACAGTTCGTCATCCTTAAAGTTAAATAAAACATACAATTGCATTTGTCTAGTACATTTATTATTTATTTTGTTTGTATAGTCTCATGTTTTCATTTAATTCATATTGGTAATTTAATATTTTCACTAAAATAAAAATATGCATTTCTTAATGCGCTAAATAATTATTGATTTATGTTTAATTTGCTCGCACCTAATATTGAGTTACGCAGCTAAACTGTGTGTTTCATAAAATCCATTGTACATCCATACATATATCATATCATATCATATATCATTGTATAATTGCATATCTATAGTGGTGTACGTGAGGTTTGCTACAGCGGGGATAGGGGGAAATGTGCTCTATTTGTATTATTTATGACTTCTGACTTGGTGTTGGTGTAAACTTTAGTTGTATTCTATATATTTTTTCGAAAATAATTGAATAGAGCAGCAAGTCGATTGGGGGATCACATGAATGCAATGTGAAAGCTTTGATAATCCGTCAATAAACAGATGCAACTGTCCAATAAGTATCCAACAGATACTAGCTATGCCTAACTAAACAGATACTAACTAACTATGTGTATGCTAACTTACTAACTTACTCTATATATGTATTTATTTAGTGTATAATTAATTGATATATTTAAGGCATTATCGCTATAGTACGACACTCTCTATATTAAACTGTGGCTCCAATCGATTATTGAAAACATGAAATTAAGGAATTCGTTCTATTCGCTCGTCGAGATTTTTAAAATATATTCGCTTTATATGTGTGACTCGAGCTTAATTTTATTTTCTTTCTGTATTTCGCTCTGATATGAGTTCCTTATATAATCTGACACAATATATAAACACAAAATATATATATTGTATTTTTGTAGTTAATTTACTTATAATATGTATTCTATTAATTGCGTTTGTTTTAATTATTATTATTACGTTTTATTTGCATTACTCACACATCATTTCACAGCACAATTTCCATTGACAATTGTTAAAATATTGATATTATTATATTAGTTCAGCTGTATGTTCAAAATTTTCTATTGTTTCTCTATGCTTGTAAGGGACGCAGTCAAAATATTTGCACATCAAAAATTTCGCATTTCGAAACCGAGATTTGAACAGTGTAAAAGCTTTAGGGATCAAATATACAAAATCGTTAGCAGTTTACATCGATCTAATAGTCTGGAATTTAATATAGTAGTAGGTATGCTCTTATTAGGGTCTCTAATCGGAAAACATGACTTCGACTTGTAACTTTGGCAGCTGGCGACATGTCTGTCCGATTGAACTCAGCTGAGAGGGTTGGTTCTGTCTCTAGAAGATAATTCATGCATTCACATTGCGATAAACTATTGATTAACTGTTACGTCCACTCTGGAGGAACAACAGTCAAATAGCTCTTAAAATGTAAATGGTACGTATACAATATAAAATATGCCTATCACAAGGAGCTAAGACTACAATACGAATCTACAATATGCTTACACAATAAATATACTAATTACAAATATTGTTGCAACGCTCCAAATGTGAACTTCTGTGAACCGTTTTGAAACATTGTATAAAAGATTATTTTCTTGTTATCTACAAGGAAAGTACAATTGAACACTTGGTTGTAAGTACAAGTACAGTAGCTGGTTTCAGCTTTTAAGGAAATCATAAAGTCAGACACAGGGTTGGTGGATCCGTGCTTGCAAGTGGAGGCACGCCTGGAATGCTAGCGGAGCTCTGCAGGCGTCTCCGTCTCCGCACAAGCCGAATCAGCTTAGATTGCACAGGAACATGTAGAAGTATCGCAACTACAAGCGAATCGAATTCGACTCCTCCTCTTCATCGTTATCGTTAATTAGCTCGTTGCGATCATCGTCGATCTGAATCTTGTGATGCGACGTATTTCGTGTGTGCTGCTGCTGCTGCTGCTGTTGTTGCTGTTGCTGTGGCTGCTGCTGTGCTGGTCGATTCAGCGTGCCAGCCGTGCCATGGGCATTAGTCGGTGCTACTGCTGGAGCTTCTACGTTGCTGCCAGAGGGCAGGATGCTGTAGTTAAGATCTTTTGAATTGGTACGACGATGACGCAAAATACTGAGACCACTCGATGATGACTCAGGTAAGGCCACTTGACTGTTCAGATCCTTCGAATTGGTCCGCGAGTGGCTCCGCGATCCACTGCTGCCCTCCACCTCATTGGAGTTCTTCACCTTGCTGGCATCAGCCACCACGTTCTTCAGCACATTGACATTCTTCTTGGGATTGCTGTGATGTGAGTGCGGATGCCGCAGAAAGTCCGCATCAAAGCGAATATTGTTGGGCATATAGATCTGATCGTAGCTATGATTGCGCGAGTGCTTCTTCACGAAATGGCCACAGCCCGTGGTTAGCTCGTCGTCGTCATCCTCCTCGGCGTATTCCTGAGGCCGCAGCTGGTTTTGTATGAAGCGTATGGGCAGCGATGGATCGTCGCGCAGCGTCTTGTGGCGCACATCATGTGGATTCAGATCAGTGGAGTGATTACGTGTGTGCGACTGCAGCTTCTTCAGATTCGTGAACTTATTGCCAACGGCATCTGAAGCGCTGCTAGCCACATTGTGGTCCTTGGCAAAGCTCTTGATCATCTTCACATCGCACGAGGCGCTGCGGAAATGCTTCTTTGACTTGGTCTGCGGCACATGGCAGCTGTTTACCGCTGGCAGCACATGTCCACACTTGTCGTAGCTGCAAAGAGTTTCAATTAGTTGCGGCATCAGCATAACCCAACCATAGCTTACCAGTATTCCAGCTGCATGGTGCGCGAGTCGTTGCGCGATTCGTTGCGCGAGTGCCTCAATATCTCAGTGGGGATAATCAGCTCGCCATTGCCTGCCACGAATCCAGTGCTCGCATCCCCGCCCGTCAGCTTCTCCTCGAATACTGCAAGCAAAAGAAAAAAAACATTTGTTAATATTTCGAAAGGATGGTATGTGTACTTACGTTTGTCCAAACTGATGATGGATCCGATGATGGGATCGCTGGCGTTCAGTGGCTTCATTTTCTCAAGCTGCTTGCGCCTGCGCACGAGCCACCAGTCCACAATGAAGATGAACAGGGCAACTAGCTTAACGGACGCACACAGACCCACATATCTGAAGAGGAAGAAGGGTATATTAGTCGACAGTCGGGTATGGTTAGCTCCAGCGCTTACTTGTAACGAAACTTCTCTATGTCATAGATGAGACAACGGCCGCCCTTCTCGCCACATGACGACTTCCACAACAGACACGTGGAATCGATGAGATTGCCAAAGACAATGGGCGCCGGTATATAGCCAAATAAGCGGAATATCACGAACTGCATGCCCAGGGCAAAGGAGCGCTCCTCCTCGGACACGGAGCGCAGCACAATCATTAGCAGCGGCATCTGCGTGGACGCCACAATGAATGTCATGAAGAAGAGCAGTATGAGGAAGGGGTAAATGGTGCGGCAGGGCGTGGCACACGGTCCAGCAGTGGCCACCGGCACGACAGTGACCTCAGCAAAGTCCTCGTTGGCACTCAATGCCTGAGCCTGGCTGCCGCCAGCGCCCCGATAAATGCTGCTCGAAATGTTGGCGTGAACACCTGCAAGAGGAAGCGAAAGGAGAAGGAAGTGAGCTTGAAGAACTTTTTTGTTGCTGAATAGCAAACGAGGCACACTCACAGGCACAGTTGGTGTAGTTGGAGCTGGACGAGAAGGCAGTGCAGCCGGCGTGGCAGGGACTGAAGTAGGTCAGGCCATTGTTGCCGCAAACAGGTTCCACTTCACTGGTCAGGCACTCGCAGCCGAAGTTGCAGGCGGCCGTCAGATTCACCTGGAACGGCTGGTCCAGCGTCGAGCCGTGCTTGGTGTAGTAGGGTATCGTGGTGCCGGCCATCTTCAGGTTGTCGCAGCCCAAGAAGAACAGCATCGCATAGCAGGCCAGGCAGATGACGTTCGTGATGAGCACGAACTGCACGGCTCCCTTTGGCTTGAGCTGAAAGCGCTTGAGCACGCAGCCACCGATGAAGATGCCAATGCAGGCACCAGGCACTGCGATCGAGCCGGTGAATATGTTCGCCTGGCTCTTGCCCAGACTGAACTGCGTCTCCAGATATTTCGGCAGAAACACGACGAAGCCAGAGACGATCATGAGCTCCATGCATGCGCCGAGGCAGGTGACAATGTACACGGGATTCTTGACCAGGCGCAGCATGGACTGCGGTATATCCTTGATGTCCTTGCCATAGCCAGTGTCCACCTTGGGCGGCGAATGCGTCTCCTCCTCTTTGGTCGTCACCGCGACTATCTCCTTCTTCACCTTGCCCAACTCATCCGTGGCGACAGCGCCCGAGTTGTTCGGCAACGTCAGCTGCACCACGCTGCTCTTGCGTATCTTCTTCTTCTCGCGCGTCAGCACCTTGGGGAAGGAGAAGAACGGAACAGCCACCACGAGCAGTATGACGCCGCAGAGCAGAAAGCCGCCCCACCACATGCCCACCCAGCGACGATCACCAGGAGCTGCAACGAAACATATCGAAGATCG